TGGCGTTTTTGGTGGGATCAAATTCTTCGGAGAATGAAAGGGTAGAAATAGGAGGTGGGATGAACTATACGATCGAATGCTTTCTCCCTCACAGAGGCCTTCAACCGCATCCTAGCCATCACCAATCAGGAGAGAAATCTGCCATATCCGCTTGGTCAGCTACGAATAGCACAGTCCATGGAGCTTTCGAACCGATCGCATTCAGGTTTTTGTGAGGAACGCTGGCCTTATATACGGGGGTAAATCCCACATAATTGACAGACTTTCTCCCCTCCGCTTCAATGTTTGGATCCCTGACCTGGATATAAGATGCCTCAAGGGTTTTGCGTGCGGCAGCTAGAATATCTTGCTCTAGGACAACCGTGACTCCGAAGTCGACCCCGCAGTGCACATTACCCTGTAGCAACCGAGGGCAGTCGACCAGCCGTGACGTACTTTTCCGTCAAGGTGTCCTTTGATTTGTACGTGAAGCGGCCACGCCGTCTCACCTATATACTCGTTGCCGCACGTTTGGCAGGTGATCTTGTAGACCACACTCGCAACCGCGCAGTCTCCCTCCCTGCGGTTCAGGCAGACTACGCAGTCCGGGGTTCCACATGTGCGATCGTAAAGACGGTTTCTAGACCCGATCTCCTCAGACACTCCCTTATGAAAGTGTTATCCTAATCGGAGATAAAGGGTTCAACGAAAGGAGTTTTCCTCGTAAGAAGATCACCCCCGGTCTTCTTAATTGCCATAGGTGACGAACAGTTATGACCGCTAGGCCCAGCAATTTCGCGTGCCATTCCCAAGAATCCTTTCTCTACTCTTCACTCGTCCAAAAGTTGCCGTCGTCAGGAACATGTTCCTGACGACTGTTCGCTTAGTTTGGAGCGGATGAGCTGTGAGTGGACAATGGTATTTTTGGTGGTGGGCTTCCTGTACCACTTTGTGAGGTAAGCGCCCTTATCAGACCTGACCTGGACGTTAAGGAACGGAAGCCAGTTGTCACAGAGCTTCTCGCACCTGACTTGATGTGTTCGGACTGCTCGTTCATCAGTGCAAAACATTGTCGATTCCGCACTGGGAAGAGCAGATTATGAAGCAGTCGTCGATGTGTCTACAATAAAGCAAGGGGAGTCGTTCTAATACTGGCGTTTCTATCATGGCCCTAAAAGCAATGATCAGTGTAAGTGCCAGCCGTTGTTCCCCCGTCTTTACGATCGCACATGTGGAACCTCGGACTGCGTAGTATGCCGGAACGGTAAGGAGGGAGACGGCGCTGTTGCGGGGATGGTCCACAAGATCATCTGCCAAACATGCGGCAACGTGTGCATAGGTGTGGCTGCCTCATGTGTGGATCAAAGGACACCTTGGCGGAAAAATTAAGTCACGTTTGTCAACTGCACTGGGTTGCGACAGGCTGAATGTGCATTGCGGGGTCGACTTCGGGGTCACGGTGGGGTCCTGGAGCAAGAAGTTGAAACTGCCGCACGCACTCTCGTGGTATTTTTGGTCCAGGCTAGGAATCCAAATGAACCGGCCCCGTATATGAGGCTAGCGTTCCCCATGGGAACCTGAATGCGATCGGTTCGAAAGCTCCCTGGACTGTGCTACTCGTAGCTGTCCTGATTCTGGCAGGTTCGGTAATTTTCTCCCCTGATTAGTTACGTGATGGCTAGGATAGGGTGATAGCTCCGTATCCCCTCTCTCACTTGCGTGTAGCGGGAAACTCCGAGCAACGCCTTTTTGATGGCGCGTTGAATACGCCGCATGCTCATCCTGCTGGTAGAGTATAAGTCTCTGAGGCTATGTCAAGGCAGGAAGGACCGCGGAATCGAAGAGGTGGACGCGGACTTGGTGTTTTTCGTCTTCTTCGCTACTCCCTCGATATTCTTGAGGACTCCCCAAGCCGCTCGCTTCCTCATTCTCAGCTCTGGAGCTAAGTCATTCATCATATTGATTTCACGACCTGTACACATAGCTAGAGCATTCAGAGATGGTCGTTCCGTTGAGCGTGAATGGGGCATCAGAAACCAATCCGTTTCTCATAAACATCGTCTTCGTCAGATTCAGTCGTAGACCGACTTTTTCACACGCGCAATCGAAATCAGCCAGCATTCATTCCGCTTGCTCGATATTTGGCGTTATCAAAACGATGTCGTCAACAAAGCGGAGATGGTGTAGTTGCCGACCGTCGATATTCGCTCCCATGTCTCCCAATTCCAGCTGACGCATGTCGTTCTCGAGAGAGGCGCTGAAAAGCTTGGGCGAGATGGTGTCGCCCTGTAGGACCCCTCTCTTCACATCGATGATGATCTCCTTAGAATGGTGAGATCTTAGTCGTGAAGTTGCTGTAGAGCTCACGAAGTATCCTGATGTACTGAGTAGGAATACCCTGGTTGCCCAGGGCTTCGATAACCGCTTCTGTCTCAACGAAGTCGAAGGCTTTCTTCAAGTCGATGAACGTGAGACTAACGGCATCTTGTACTCTCGCCACACTTCAGTGGACTCCGTGACCGTGTTAATGTGATCGATCTTGCTGAATCCTCTTCGAAAACCTGCTTGCCCGCGTGGCTGTTCTTCGTCTAGTCCTGTTCAGGATGACTCGTGTGAAGAGTTGTAGACTACGGACAGTAGGCAGATTGGGCGATAATTGCCAATGTCGTACAGGTCTCCTTCTTGTACAGCAACCTACTCTTGCTGGTTTTCCACGAGGTAGGTACCTTGCATTTCATCAGGTAGCCCCTGTCAAAGAGAGTCCAGCCAGACTTTTGTCAAGAACTGGCGAAGATTCTTCATATTTCCGGATTTGATCTTGTCGGGAGTGGGTGCCGAACGATTATTCACCGACGAGATGACGTGTCGGACTTCAGAATGGAGAACTGCAGGAACGACGTATCCATCCTGCTCCAAGTGGTATGATGGCATGTGGACGTGGCTGTCAAAGAGATCAAAGCAGAAGTCGTGAATGACCTTCTTCATTGCCCTTCCAGATGCTGTGATTGTTTCGCCCGAACGTCGGAGGGCAGTAACCCTGGTCTTGCAGTTGGTGAAGTCGCGACGGGTGTTGCGGGTGCTCTTCCCCGCCTCTGCGGCTTCCACCAGTACAGCTGCTCTTCTCTCCATGAGGTCTTCCTTCATCGCTTCTCTGCAGCTTCGCAAGCTCAGACGTCAGCTGGTAATTTCCTGCGGCTCGTGCGGC